AAAGAGAGATTTTAGAATTAAGTGATTACAAAATAAGTTTTATTCTTTTTTTGACCATGAATACCTGCAGTAGAGGAGATGCATGCTATTCTGTGTTTGAAATTTTTGACAAGGACCTTGGAGTTGCATGGAGCATTATTTTGAAGAGGGAATGTTAGTGTCAGAATCCGTGCAGATTATAGATTAAAGTCTTTTTTTTTTGTAAGAATGGTACAAAGAAGCAATACAAAAACTCAGGGTTGAAGTAAAAGATACCATGAAATCAAGTAACCTCAGTGTAACAAGTTACCATTTTTCAAATGAGTTGTGATCACTGTTTGTGGTATGTAATCCTAGGTGATATCAGCTGTGAAATAGAAGTTGGCTTAAAAAACTGCTTGTGACTGGCCACACGATTATTGTAACAGCAGGTCAGCCCACTGATAGGGATGTCACGCTTTGTAGGGTGTGCCATTGTGTTTGAGATAAGTGTCTGCTGCATCAGTTTGGCTGCTGTGTTTTAATTAGCAGAATCATTTTAAGGTGTATTTTGGGCTGACTCACATCACCATTTTTTCTTTGCCTTAGTGTTTGTAGCTCTGGTGCAGAACCACAGGCAGAAATTAGATGGCTATAGAGGCTTCTGTCCACATCTGTCCTGAACTGCTTCAGAGGTTCCTACTCCTGATACCCAGGGTGGGTCAGGAGGCCTGTGAGGTCTCCTGTGAGGCAAATTATAACTTAGTCTCCTAAGGAAAGCTCTTTCACAATCAGTTTATCTGTTGGTCAAACAGAGCAAGAATTTAGAGAAGGATAGGCAGATACAACTGTAAGTGGCAAAATGTACATTCAGCCAATTTTAATCTGAGTCAGAACTTCCAAGGTACCATTGCATGAATGTTTTCCTACCCCAGTGCTGCTGTTTTGGTGCTTTTTCAGTGCAACTGATACAACTGTTTGAGGGGCTATGCTATAAGCCAGTTATAAAAACAACCCCCCCAAACTAAGGAGTTGGTTTACTGTGTAGCCTTATAAACAGTTGCAATAGCACAAATTTAAGGAAGGAAATGAGCTATGAGCAAGAAAGAACTTCAGCATGTGTGGTAGGTTGACCCTGGCCAACAGCCAAACACCCACCCTGCCTTTCGCTCACTCCCCTCTCCTGGGGGATAGGGAGAAAAATGGATCAAGATAATGACAGTTTAATAAGAAAAGCAAAAGTTGTGTGTGCAAGCAAAGCAAAAAAGAGGAATTAATTCCCTGCTTCCCATCAGCAGGCAGATGTCCAGCCACTTCCTGGGAAGCAGGGCCTCAGCACACGTAAGGGTTGCTTGGGAAGACAAACACCATAACCACGAATGTCTCTGCATCCTCTTCCTTTCCCTGAGCTTTTATTGCTGAGCGCAACGTCATATGGTATGGAATAGCTCTTTGGTCAGTTTGGGTCAGCTGTCCTGGCAGTGTCCCCTCCCAACCTCTTGTCCACCCCCAGCACACTGGCCTTTGGGGTGGGGGGAGAGAAGGCCTTGACTATGCATGCACTGTTCAGCAGTATCCAAAACACTGGTGTGTTATCAACACTGTTTTAGCCGCAAATGCAAAACACAGCACCATATGGGCTGCTATGAAGAAAGTTAACTTCATAACTTCATCCCAGCCAGACCCAGTACAGCATTCTAGCTACTACAGACTTCACTTCTCATGTTGGATACTTAGATTTGACTTGCTTAATTTTAGATGTTTAATTAAGTTATTCATCTAGGCTCCTTTGTATCCAATGACAAGAAATAAGTACCTCTAGATGGTAATTCATCCTGTGTGCCTATTGATACATTGACTGGTTATAAAGGAAGCCTTGCTATTTGACACCTAACTTCTAAGCATCTGAAGTTGGATTTAGGACACAGTGAGAGGCAGCTTACTTCAGTTCAGGGTTACCTTGCACTTACTGCATATTGATAAGATTGTTCGTGTAAGAATTCATTAAAGAACTAGTGTTCCATATGTTAATAACCTAGTTTGCCTTGTACTGACTTTTTCAGGTAAGCAGGCTCTTAGGTTAATGTCTGAATTGGCATCTTATTACTACATAAAAGACAGGATGGCTTATATTGAGAGCTTTGTGTTGAGATGGAAATGCTTAAGGTATAAAGAACATGACCGGTGTGGTTTAGTATAGATGAAAAATAATTAATCTTCCCTTGCAGTAAACATCAAGGAATCTGACAGATTTGTTCTGAGTTTTTTGTCTTGTCTGCTTGCCAAGATACATTTTGGAAAAAACAAGAAAAAAAAAATTCCAAACACTCTTTTTTCCCTTGTGAATAAAGGCCTTGTTCTAAAAGTGTTTTGTGTCTGTTTTGTTTGGTTTGTTTTTTTTTTTTTCCTTTTTTGGATGATATTACACAATGCTCTGCACTGCAATTTGTAGATATTTTGTGTGTGATGCTATGTGAAACTGAACTTCAGTACAAATGTCTATAAATAAAATAATGAAGAAGGTACAGTTTAAAGGAATAAATTATTGAATTTCAGATGCAAAAAATAGTTCCTGTTGAAATTAAAAATATTTTCCCTTATAGACAGATTTTTTTGGATAATTGTGCTTGTGGTTCTCCTGCAGACTTGGAATACTCCTCCAATCTGTCTGCTTTTCCAGGAATCTGGGAAGGGGGATGTAGGAAGGGAGGAATGTAAGAAAGGGTAGAGGTTCTTGCAGTTCTCTGTGGAAGTAGAGCAGCTTATTCTCTCTTAGAAGTGATGTGCATTTGTTTATTCAGGCTGTTGAGAGTCAAGTATTTTCTATATGTCAGTCTTTGGCCCGTGTAAAATAAAGTTAATATTTTAATGCAGTTTAGGTATAGCTCCCTTGTTATCTGATAAGAGGTCACAGAGCAGGGTCTACGGTGAGTTAATTTCTAGCCATCCAGGTGGCTTGAAGTGTAAGTTGGAATATTCTCTTGGAAATGCTTAAACAGCTTTTTCAGTTTGGATGTTTTGAACCTCTTGGGAAATGGGCACTGAAAGACCCATTCTGCAGTGCTCCACTACCTTGTGTGGAGCTCAGGTTGAAGATCTCTTCCTAGCTGAGGGCTTTATGATGATACATAAAATGCATCTAATTTCATTTTTTCAGTGTCTGTACTATAAAAAACCATTATCTTCTTTCTTAAACTGTCAGCAAAGATGCTAAGAACTAACAAGATGTGAAAGCTGAACTAAGAGTTTTAGATGATACAGTGGTATCAATTTAGGGTATTTTTTCTTATTATTTTTTAAAGCCAAGTTAGTTGAACTTATGTGATCAGTTTGTGTCCATGGGGAAGTAGCGCTGGTTAAAACCACTCAGATTCTAAACCAGTTTTCTACCATTGCAAAATAGGCCTTCTCTAGGTAGCTGTCTTACTTGACTTTGTCCAGAACATGACTGAAGCACGCTAACAGGACTGTATACAAAATCTTACTTTGGTGTTTCTTTGTAGGCCCAACTTTGTAGAAATTAGGGAGCTATAGGTTAAATTGGATTGATACAGCCTAGTGTAAACCAAAGATTTGAATGAGCTTCTTAAGTCACTGTATTAGAATTATAGAATCATTTAGGTTGGAAAAGACCTTTAAGGTCATCGAGTCCAACTGTAAACCTAACACTGCCAAGTCCACTACTAAACCATGTCCCTAAGTGCCACATCTAAATTTTAAATATTGTTGAAAAAAAAAACCAAACCCAACAAAGGTGGAAACTCTAGGATAAGGTGGTTTTATTCTGTGAATCAGTTGAAGCTTACCCAGAATGAGTCACTTCTTTAATTGAAATAAATGTTTATACTGGGATTTGCATCCAGTTAGCTAAATCACAGTGGAATCACACCTTGAGACTAAATGAGTCTTTCTTTTAAGACTGTTTGAGATGGAAATGCAGGCTTTTTTTGTACACTGCAATAAATACATTCCAGAATTCTCTGCAAGCATGTGTGTTTCTGGATAGTGCTGAATTACTGGTGAATACTTTAAACTTAAGTGATATGTTCTGTTCTTTTCTTTAGTTGTTTTTTTTTTTTTTTGACAAGTTCAGGGAAATGATGGAATAAGTTGAAAATGCAATCTATGCTTTTAAAGAGGAACAGAGGCAAAGTTTTTAGCTGAAGCATGTATAGACATGCAAAGTGCTTTCATATGACTTAAAGTAGTTAAACAATGAAAACTTAACATTAATCATGTAAACTATTCTCTTGATTTTTCTCTTTTGCTGTGGTATGTAAATCAAAACTCAAATCATCAAGATTAGAATCATGATAAAGAGCCTTTGTGACAGGCTGTTTATATAGCTGCTGCAATGATCCAATGTAATTGGATCCAGTGCCTAGGAACCAGAGGAATGCATACATACCCTGAAGGGGAAGAAGTAGTGGTAGAAGTTACCACTCTTCCCATCAAAGGTTAATCATAAAAGTCACATAACAGAAATGTCCTTTCTCTAACATAAGAGATCCTAGGATAAACTTGTGGTCATCACTTGGAGCTCTGTTACACATCATAAGGACTTTCTGATCTACACTTAAGCAATGTGACTTTCTTCAAGGTAAAGTTTCAACTCTTGATGTAAACGTGGAGTCTTTTGACTTGGGAAAAGGGTCACATCTATTTAGTTCTGTTGTCAAATAAGACAAGTTTTCCCAGGTTTTTTTGTTCTGCTTTCAAGTCATACAGCGATTGATAAAATGTTTATTACTTTTTGTTGTATATTAGGCTCTTTCAGAAAGTGGTTAAATATGCTTAACTCTGAAAGTGAATGCTAGGTGGTACCATTTCATAACTGCATTTATATGTGATGCTTCAACTGACTATGCAGGTGCTGAACTTGTCACTTCATTTTGTCCAGTAGATAAATTTCATGCTTTCTGAGCTAGGCTCAATATGATGTACAGCTCTCAAAGGCTGAGAATTCATAGATATTTCTGTTTCTTCAACCATTTGTTAATCTCCCAATGATATTTATGGTGGGAAGTGTAAGTCTTCTCTTTTTCTTTTAGGTTGACAATTGCGTTTTTCGCACTCTCTGGTCTGGATATGTTGGATTCCTTGGATGTGGTGAACAAAAATGATATAATAGAATGGATTTATTCCCTGCAGGTCCTTCCCACAGAAGACAGTGAGTGAGTTTTTAGTTTGTTTGTTTGGTTTTTTTTTAATTAATATTAACATCTTTACTTTTGCTTTCTACTTGGGGAATAGTGTATTGCTCTTAGTTTTTATAAAATACAAGCTTGACCTTCCTGAGGTGGTTGTCCTGATAATTTCTGATAGCAGTATGTCTAGCAATTCCTAGAAATATACCCCTCTAAAGAAATAAGGCTAAAGTGATTAGTTCAGCTTTTTTTATGTGTTCAAGGTGAAGCTATGAAATGAATTTAAAGACAAGACAATATAAAATACTAAAGAAGTTCTACCTTTGAGCATCTTCTCAGAGAATTTTTTCACCTGTTTCTAAAAGAAATGCATATGCCATACAGTTATTACAAGTCTATTAATGACTATATAGACTTCTGCTAATTATAGCTATGCCAGGAGCTATAAGCACAGGTGTGACTTTTGGAAAAAGGGAGGTTAAGAAGCAAAAGGGATAAACACAGTTCCCACTTTATAATGAAAAAATTATTCTTTAGATCTGTGAAGGTTAAATTTACCTAACGTTTTCTGAAGGAGTAATACTGTTGCTCTGTCCTAGCTGTCCTCAAATTGGAAGGTTCATAGTAGATTCAGGTTAGGGAGGGAGCACAGAAGAAGTGGCCCTCTCCAGGTAACTTGACAGAAGTGGAGGGAGGTGCTATTTCTCTGGGCTAGTTGGTATTGGTGTTTTTTCTGTTGTAGCTCAGGTGAGTGGTTAATAGCAATAGGAGTGGAAGTGAGGAAGATGTGGATGAGGCACTGCCATTTTAAGAAGTGAGGTGCTGGCATGTTAAGTGCTGGTGTGGGGATAGCTCCAGGCTTGTCTTTAGAGAAGAGGTAATTCCAGGTGCCTGTCTATAAAATCATGAACATGTGAAGTACCTCGTATGTTGGATGGCTGTAGAAATAAAATTGTGTATTTCCTTATAATATCTAGTCTAATCACATACCACAAATTAGGTGTCTTCCCTAAAGCAGTTTTATGAAATAAAGTTTTATGAAGTGAACATATGGAAGTCAAGATTGCTGATGCTTGATTTTTACAGTAATAAAAAGAACCAGTTTCTTTTTCTGGCAACTTACAAACCACCAGATCTGTCTGGAATATTAGCTCTAATAGATTTTGATTTCTTGTGCTGTATTTCAGGACTGATTACTGAAAATTAAGGGGTTTGGATCACATAATTGTTCCTACAGGTCTTTTATTTATGAGAAGGTTTGTGTCACTTAGCATTGAGAAAATTTTCCAGGCTGTACATGCTTTTTTTTCAGGAGTTGCATACTTTCTGATCTCTATCCCTGTCTTCAGGAGTGTATTCTGAAAGAACAGTCAGCTTTGCAAGAGGGATTAGAATAGGCATTTTTTTGTTTGTTTGCCTTTTGATAATATGCTGTAATTCTCAGTAAGTGTCCCATCACCCCACCTCCCAGCCAATATTTGGGATAGTCACATCATTATCAAGGGCCTTCTAGGGACAACGGTATAAATCTCAGCATGTAGCAGAGGCTAAAGATCCAGGGCACAGCTAGGATGTGCTATCTTTTTTTGTTGGGTTTGGGTTTTTTTGTTGTTGTTTTCTTGGCTCTCATCCTATCATAAAATTACAGGACAGTAGTTTTAGGGAGGATGCCTATGGCAGTGCATTCTGTGCTTATAAATAATAAATCTCATTTCTCCAGCAGACCAACCTTCACTCCAATCCTGTATCTTGATATCGCATCATAAGAACTCTGTTTTTGTTAAGCTATCTTCCTTTTGGTATTAACACTACTCTTTATCTGGTCCCTTGACCCCTAAAATTTCAGCATTATTTTATTCCATTTTTACTTCAGCTGATGGACAATAGATGAATTAAAATGTAAATGATACCAACAGCAACAAATTGGATGCTGGATGATTAAATGTTCAGAATGGAATGCACAACCTCCTTTAATGTCTACTTTCAATAAAATGCACTGACTTTCTGTTTTTTAATTCTGGATGTGTCCAATATTTGCTATATGGCAGCCTCCCACCAGTAGAGCTCTGAATCTCTTTTGGCCTGTTAGAAGAATTAGCTAAACTGTGGTAGGCTGCAGCACTTGAGGCTTTTGGCTTCAAAACGTTTGTACATATATCTAGTTAAAGGGAATACTTGCTAGCTTGATACATCAGAATCTTTCCTGGAAAAAATCTGATTCTACTTTTAAAGAAATATATTATTGAAACTTCTTTGACATGCATGCTGATATATCCCTCTTTCTGGGGAAAACTGATTTTTAAGCATCTAAATTTTAACACTGATGTATTGTGTAGTTTCTAGAATAAGGAAATTCCACTAATCTTGACTTAAGTAACTGCATTGCACTTGATGTTAGTCCTCATTACTTTTGGTTCTGTCATTGAAAACCAGTGGACTTATATTTTAAATTGGAATATGTTTTTAGCTCATCTTGGTTCTTTGGTTTTGATTGCATCACTGGATGAATTCCTAAAAGGAACAAAAAGAGAATTCCTGTAATTCTTATTGGAAAGTTTTCTCTGCTGTTCATGTTACTCTCTCCAAAGTTTCCATATCAGTAGTACTTCACTTTTGATTATTAGGCACTTTTAAAGGTGGCAAGTTCAAATTATTTTGAGAACTACTGCTACTTTACAATGGGCTTCCAACGAAGAATGGAGACAGAACAGTCGATACTCTACAAACTTAATTTCTGTTTACTTTTACCAATAACTATTATAGTGGTGTAGTATTGAACCTGGTAGAAAATTCAGAATTTGAATTTTTAGAATACTTATTTGTTATAATCTCAAAATATACTGTGATACTATTAAGTAATATGTTTGTATATACTAATATGGGAAGATCTTGGTCTAGCTCAGTAAGAAAGCGTGCACACATACACTTTGTGAACCTAATTGAAATGCACTAAAGGAAACTAAAGCTTAAGGTCCATCAGGATAGACTATATTCTTCTGTGGTTTTACTGTAACTGTGAAATATAGGAGATTCAAAAAAGTAATATCATAATTAATTTCAGCTCAAGTGTTTTAGAGCCTGACTCAATACCTGTTGTAATTTGGAGAGAATGGCATGTCACACATCAGCTGACTCTCACACAAACCTAACAGTCTTAGCTGGATGCTTGGTTTCCTTGGTGTCTTCTACTTATTTGAAAGGACGCTGTCTTCCATAATTTTTGCAAAATAGTTTGTTTTTTACTTCCATAGCTTTTGGCCATTGCTACCTTTCCTTCACATTTAGTAAAAGCTCTGCCTCATTACATGGCTAATCGCATGTGTTTGTTTTGTTTATGTGTTGAAGGGGAAATTCTAATTGTAACTGCTCAGCAGTGGTAATTTGTGACTGAGGAATGATCTGGCATGGAGGGCAAGAAGGCCTAACTACAAGAAGGGGTTAAACTGGCTGGAAGCAAAAAAGGAATGCCAGACAGAATGACTCCTTGCAAGGGAGTGAAGTTTCCCTGGGTGATGAGATAAGGAACAGCCTCAGCATTCTCTTGTAGCCATCCTGGAATGCCAGCGCTCAGGGGCCACCTTGGGCCATCAGAGCTGGGCTGGGGGATGGACCCGGGCTGAGGTGCCCCATGCAACCGCTCACAGGATTGGTGCTGGTGCGAGTGTATATATGGAAACTGCTCGTGACACATCTTTGCAGACTCCTTGTGTTGTCCCAAAAAAGCAGGGTTCTTTTACCCGGTGTGCAAAAAAGCCGAATAACACACAGAGTTGAGATATTTGTTTATTTCATGTCTGCGCGGAGATGGGTGCTAGGTGGTAACTCCACAAAGCTAGCACACCTTGGTTAACATGCAGGGACATTTTATACGTTCTGAGTAGCTGTTATCAGTGTTTTCACACTTCCACTTATTCATCCTTGCTTCTATTGGTTCTCACAAGCCTCGTCTCCACTTAAAGGTACAGTGTGTTTTAAACTTACAGAGCATGCCCAGTGGGTAGGGGTCTTTGCTTGGGCCGGGGGCTTCATTGCTGGAGGTGTGGTTTTTACTATGTTAATTAGAATAGTTCACTCATGGTTCAAGTGATTCTCACTTCGGCTTTATCAGCGGCCTTGTTTTCTCGTGCTTATCTTGGTAGTTCCTTGCTAGACTGCTTTGTGGTGTCCTCCTGTTTCTTCTCTCAGGCCAGGTCTTGTTAACTGTTGACAGAGGTTGATTAACGTCCTCTGCCTTAACATCCTTTGTCTTATTTCTCGCATATCTCCAACACTTGTAGAACTGCTTATGGTGGTAGGACTCTGCTCGATGCATTGTTCGTTACTTTTTTATTTTATATTTAAGCACAAGCGTGTGTTTAATTCGCCTCGAGGGGTACCATAAAAATTCCCCAACAGTGTTCACTGTAGTAAGACCAAACTGTGTTTCCTTTTAGAAGGACACTGACATTTTGAAAAAGCCTCCTTTTTTTTTTTTTTTTATTAGAAGGGGGGCTGTGCTCTTTTACAAGCTTTATTAGAAATTATATTTAATAACTGTTAGTTTACACCAACGGTGTGCTGGTTTGTACCATGCACCCGTATTTGCGCATTTACGTAATAAAGGAAAATACCTCGACTCTGTGTGTGAATTGGGCGATGCACACCGGGTAACGGACCCAAGTTTTTGGGACAACGAGTGGACGTAGGTTCCTCGGCCATATTCATCTGCCATCCTCCCCTATAGCAACACTGGCACTTGTTTGACCCTGCTGGGAGCTGGTTTAGCTTGCTGAAGTGGCAGAAAAGCATGTATTTATTTATCTGTCAGAAAGGTTAGCTTTGTGTTGCGTTGTGTACTGAATTGGCTGGGAATGCTAGTGCCAGCCCAGGGGGGAAGAGGGAGCAAGATTACATACTTTGACAGCTGGATGTTTCACTGGCTTTGCTATACTAAGAAATTGCACCCTAAGTAAAGCTGAGACATCTTTCACTTTCTGGTCTGAACCCCCAGGATCCATGCATTAGCAGGCTGAAAACCATTGCT